GAGGGAGCGGCGGCAGAAGTTGAAATGGAGATTTCCATTGAACTGACGATGGATATCCGATGGGCGGAAGTGGCCACTCAACACAATTCAACGATTTTGTGAGCTTGTGTCGGATGTCGGCCCATTGGCTTTAAGCATTGCATTTCCCTCTTATGGGGGGGTGGAGGGGGTCCTGTGGCATGCGCTGCACTTGCACTGGGCGGCACTTAAAGTGGGGCCAAGATGCGGCTGCCATTCGTTATGGCCGAAAACAAATATATATGGGTGTGTGTGTGGGTATGGGTATACGCCACATTTCACATCCGGCTTGTTCAATTTGCGGCAACATGAAAAAGGCAAGGCACCAACTGGCGATCTGTTCCACCCTGTGCCCTCCATCCGGTCTCAGTGGTCGGACAATTTCATTTCTGGCTGGGCGAGAGCGTGGCCAGCGATGAAATTAGCAACGCTTCCCATTTTGCATAATAACTCATGGTCCGAGGCGAGTAGCGGATTGGTCTGTAGCTGGAGCTGGCGCTGGAACGGGGACGGGAACGGGGACTGTGGGCAATTCAATTAAATCGTTCGACGGCTTCAAAGCAAATAAAAATCAGAATTAAATTCATGCCGAGAGTTTTACGGACACATTCGAAAGAACATTGGAATGGCTGGGAATGGGTGGGCGAAACGGGCGGCATGTGGGACACGGATCCAGATGCGGATGCGGATGTGGATGGAACATTCGATTGGCATTTCAATTTGATTTGCCGGCCATGGTCTGAGCGGATATCGGCGTTTTAATGTGCGAATCGCTTGAATTGTTTAAATCAATTCAATTTCTGGTAACTCATCGTCGTCCATTGGCTTTAGTGATTTATTTTGATTTATTTTGATCTATTTGTTTTTGTTTATGCATGCAAATTTTTTTTGCATTGTGTGCCTATGAAAGATCTGCAAATGAACATTCTACATTCATTCAACGAAACAGCGTAAAAGATTGAATCGAATCGAATCGAATCAAATCGACACGAGTCACCGCTTAGTTCGATTCCCCGATAGAAATTGCCACTAATGGGACGTACTGTATGCTGGAATAGTGTGATTGCATGGCTATGGATCTACTCCATATATCTTCGTGGTGGGTTTGCAGTGGACCAAGGCAAATTGATTTCAATTATGGTCCCCATTCATATTCATGCGTCCATAAATTCTGCAACACTTTTGTTGCAGTGTCGCGTCCATCCATCAATCAGTTAGTCCATCGAGCAATCAATCAATCGGTGCAATGTGCCAAATCTGTCGCCACTAATTTCATCAGCTTAAAATGCAGTTGCAAGGCATTTATCTGGGGTCAGTGTGGTTTTTGGAGTGGAAACCTTATCTCTAGGGATAAATGGGAGAGGTTACACATAAATATGTATACATATACTTACGTACATATGTATGTATTTGTTTTGTTTTTTTTTTTGATGGGATCTAGTTCCTATTGCAGTTTCTATACCCCCTATACAAATTTAGTTATTTGGCAATTGTAAAATTGGATACGCTCGAAAATGTGAAATTTATTCGTGCCTCCCCATCACGTCTCCATGTATTCAATTATCCCATTTTACCCTTTAAATTATTCCAGAATCTGTGATTCGATACGGATCCATCGCTTTCCCTTGCCTGCCACAAATCTGTCCATTTCAATGCAGTTTTTTTTTGCTTGCTAAATGATCTATGTGTGTCCCAATTCGGATTGCAGCTCACGGCCCTTTTGTCCATATTCTTCCCGTGCCCTTCCCTGTCTCTGTCCCTGTCCCTGTCCACATTCCTATTCCCCTACAAACCCTTCAATGCAGAGTGGCAATGACTGAATGGCATTTTAAGCCATGGCCAAATGTCAATTTCGTTTTAGTCCGCCTTAGACCTGCATAAATTCTATCCATTCCGCCGATTGCACTGATTTGTGGTTCGGTGTGGAAGGGGCGTTAGAAATGGAAATGGAAATCGAAATTATGGTGAAGCGGACAAATTGGATAATGCTGACCGAAATGTAAAATTATGGCGATGGTTGGGTTCATTGTGCAGCCGCAAACCCGCTTCTGGGTACCGCTGGTGGTGCTCCTGCTCCTGCTACTGATCCAGCTTCTGCTTCTGTGTGTGTGTGTGTGTGTGTGTATGACATAATTTGATTTTAATTATGAAAGAGGCGGCGACCGACAAGAGTTCGTTTGCCTGTTTGCGGTTAATCAACTGTCCGTCGCATAAATATTTTGATTGCCACAAAATGCCCGGGGCCAAAAACCAACGTCAGGTTCGAGCCATTATGCCTTTGACAGGTCCGTAGTATGGCCAAAAATGCCAAAAGCCACCATTTGCCGCAAAAATGACAATTAAAAATAATTTGAAATGCAGACACCCCAAAGCGCCAGGAGCCAGCCAGAAGCCAGAGGCGCCCAAAGCCCATCAGAATCATAGACACGGACAGGACCACAGATGAGGATGAAGCTCGAAAGCAGCAGCAGCACTCATAATCAAGCGCATTCAAATTTCAAACTAATTTTGAGCACACAGGAGGACAGCACTTGACAACAAGAGCCACAAACACCACCAGCAGCAGCAGCAGCAGCACCACCACCACCACCCATGTCCTCCACTTACCCACCATTCCCCCAGGCGGCTCCTCTACACTCCACACCACTCCATTCCACTCCACCCCACTCTACTCCAATCCGCTTCACTTTATTCCCGTCCATGCCCTGCAGCCCAGCAGCCAACGGAAGCGCCATTTAAAATTAGTAAAAAGTTAAAGCCCCAGCTGAACGAGAAGACAACATGAGCTGCCCTGCAATTAAGTGGCAGCAAGCGGGGCCGACAATTTCCGTGGGAAATAAATGGTGGATACCCTTTTGCCTTCGAAACTCATTCAATTACAAGATCATATATTTAATAAAACTTTCGTCTTTTCTTTAATATCAGCAGAGGGCAGTATAAATAATAATTATAGTCGGTATAGATAATCCATAATAAATGTAACAGCGTATTATTCTACGAATAAATAATATAAGCTGATCAGTGAGAATTTTTTGATTTATTTACCCATGGGGGAAATGAGTTTTCCACATTTAAGCCGCTGTTATTTTTCAGTTTTTCCAAAAGCACTGAGACCATCGAGACCAATTCATACACACAGTGCTACAGGGTAGCACTCAATGCTGGGTGTAGATGTTTGCCACGGTTGAAATTCAAAACGTGCAGTTAAGAGCTGGGCCAGCCCCACCTGCCCTCATTTCGGGCTCTGCTTCGCCGCCTCCAAACCGCTTCTCCATTCACATCGCAGTCATAGATGCATCCATTGCTGATGTTCTGCTCTGCCTTTACGCTTCTCTAAGCTCCGTTGAGACCTGTTCGCTGGCTGCCAGTAAATCGATCGGGCATCCATGGAAATGGGGTAGACGAACGCCGATTTAAGCTGCATGGAGAAGACTCTGGAAAATTACAAATTCCAAAATTCCAGCCACTGCACCCCCCCCCCCCCCACTCAAAAGGAAAACGCACTTGCTTTAATTTTCTTTTGTGTGTATTTTCCTTTTTTTGGTTGCAATTTTTCTTAATATTGAATTTCATTTATATCGGTTTATTCCATCTATTGGCAGCCAGCTCTCTCGGTTAGTTGCCTTACATACTTAGTTGCCAGCTGTCATTTACCTTCAGCTATTTCTTCAGAGCATCCCTTTGCCATTCGATCCGCCTTAATTAATTTCTTTTCTTTTCGTTTCGCTTCGTTTCGTTTGGCTGAGATTCGATTCTTTTGGCTTTTCAACTGGTTTCTTGTTTCCTGTTCTTGTTTCTTGCTCATGTTCTTTTTCTTGTCCTTTTCTATCTGCTTAAACACACATATCAGTTTAAGTTAAGTTTTAATAATAACTTAAGGTTTAATAACAATCACATTTACTTATTTTTTTTGTTTCTTTCGACCAAAAAAAAAATTCTGCCTTGTCCTAACGTTTATATTTGATTTACGAGTAGGTCATCATCTTATTCATTTATAATATTCATAATATTTCTTTCATTGGCATTCTCTCACTTCTCTTCATACATATTTATTTTGTTTTGTTTTTTGTTTTTTGTTTTTTGTTTTTTTGGTTAATTGTCAATAAAACAATTGGAACAAACTTAAACAACAAAAGTGGTTAATCGTTAGTCAGGGATTATGTTCCACCTATAATGTGCCATCCGAATCTTGGATCTGCTGGTGCGGATCCGTTTTATTCGGGGGCTTACATACATACATATATAATTCTTACTACTTACAAAATACATACGCGCCACTTGCAGTGCACGGATCTTGTTTCATTCGCCCGTTCCAGCTCGGATAGATGTCTCCGCTACTACACTCGTATATGTATATGTTTAAAGAGTTGAGTTTCGATCTATTATTTATCCATAGTATATTCGAAAATGTATATACTTATGTACTACATATACTTGTGGGTGTTTCTAGATAAGTATTATTTATGTTGGGCAAATACTATATTGAAAAGTTTCTCCTTCTACTACGATAATTTACCAATCGGCAATCATTTAATTTGCATTAGCTGCGAGTCGAAGTCCCCTCTTCCACACCCACACACGGAGAAAATATACATACATATATAGTGATATATCGACTATTACTAGAACTAACTTGGCTTTTCTTGTGTTGCGGGTTACATACATACATCCCATAAGTACTCTCTGCCGCAATCACCCGCATGGGCGTTCTATATAAATGGTTCGTTTGTCTCTCATTGTAAATTGTGTCTATCAAGTGAATTGGGATGGGCAAGGGGAGACGGGAAACGGGAAACGGGAAACGGGAAAAATAGACATATCGGATAGCCATAGTCGCGATATACGACTATTCTACAGTGCTCTGTGCCCAGTCCAATTAATGAATGCAGCTAAGCCCAAGGATACTGCAGGGATACTCCCGAAAAATTAAGGAACTCTGAAATATTCGTGAATTTATATTGAAAATTTGCCTAACATTGGGAGCCCCATTGAAACCAATTCATTGTAAGAGCTACAGCTCAGACTACGACTCGTAAGTTACCTAGCCAATTTTCAAACTCCAAGTTCTTACCACTCTGAGCTTACGTTTTGATCGTTCCGAATATTACACGAACATTTAGAGTGAACAAATTAAATTCCAGCAAAACTAATTGCACTATGCACTATGGTAACCTCTGACAGAACTGAGCTCTTTTTGAGTTGTTGTCCGGACACAGAGCACCCTTTAAAGTCTGGCAATGCAATACATGTACTAATAACTCCGCTACAATTGTGTTTCATTCATTAGCATTTGGCATTTCTGTGTGTAAATGATTAAAACTAATTAATTATGCATTATTACACACGAGTGTGTATGTGTGTCATTATTCTGCTTCGTTTCGAATGGTTTTGTTTCGCCAATGTTTATTTGACCTTATCGGTTTCCATTTATATCTGCCAGTTTTCATTACAACATTTTTCCCCCACTCTTAATCGTTTGCTTACTTCATAGATCGTATGGATATTTCTGTTTAATATTCTATTTTTGTTTTGGTTTTCGATTTCATTTTAGTTGCTATGGTAAGGATAGACATTTAAATACGCGCTAGCCGTTCACCTCCCCGCAAAAGTTGTGAAGAGTGGGCATGGAGGTGGTTTTTTTTTGGGGTTCGCGTGGGGTGGGGGGGAGGGACCAGTGTTTGGGTCAGCCGCAAATAGACAATCAATTAAATATGATTTATTTATGCGAGTATTAATCGCGTGTAATTGTTATTCGTAATATTTGAAAATCAACAAACTGTAAATTGGAAATATCCCTTATTTCATTAGTTTTTAGTTTTGTGTTTTTTTGTTTTTCATCTTCTGTGTTTTTGCTTGTATATTTTTATTAATTTAAATCGTTCACCTTGCCCGTTCGGGGTTCGGTTTGTTCTTTGCCACAGTTTGGGATATTATCTCTTAAGTATTTCTAGTCTTCCTTACACCCTAGAGGGAACTATTCGCGGTCTGGGGAGATCTCTAGGAGGTCCGATGCAAAAAAAAAAAAAAACCCTCTTCCTCTGTTGCCGTTCCTGCTGCTCTCTAACAGCTGGGATCGTCTGTTATATCTTTGCTCTTACCTGGCATTTCTTAACTGCCGTTTACATCGACCACAGCCAGGGCATGGAGGCCATTGGGGAGGCCGTTGGAGCCATAGATTCCGCCTGTGGTCGGCGACTGTGGCGACGGTGGTGAAGCGGGCGGCGTCAGGGTGGCCGGCTCCTCTGCACCACTGTTGACGGCGGACACCTTACTCATTCCGTTCCCATTTCCATTGCTGATGATAGCCTGCGACTTCAGTACAGTCCCATCTTTCTCCTTCTCAGCTTCCTTCTCTGGCTTTCCATTGGTGGAGTCGCCGTCGGCGTCGGCGTCGGCCTCGGCTTCGGCTAGCGGTGGTGGTGGGGGTGGGGGCAGAGAGTCCAATTGATTCGACTCGATGAGCGAGAAATCGTTCAGCTCTTTGATCTCCTCTGTGGATGGTGGGGCCGGCAGACTCATGAGACTGTCGTAATTATTTTCGGGCTCGGGCTCCGGCTCGGGTTCGGGCTCCATTTCAGCTACGGTTTGCGGTTCCTGTTCCGGTTCCAGTTCCTGTTCCGGCTTGGCTTCTATCTTCAGCTCAAGCTGGACTGTATCCGACTGTGTCTCCGGCACTGGATCAGGCTTGCCCTGCATCTCCTGTTCAGGAATCGGCTTTATCTCCGCATCCGACTTATGCTCTGTGGCCAGCTCCGGGTCTGTCTTCTGCTGTGGATCTGTCATCTGCTCGTTCTGTTCCTCACCGTCGATCTTTGACTCGGGTTTTTGGGTGTCCAAAGCTGCAGTCCGGTCCTTTTGCTCCCCCTTCTGCGCCCCTTCTGGCTCTGCCTCTGCCCTCTCTGCGTCTTGGTCATCGTCATCCTCGACAGGCTCCTTGGGCCTGATTGATGCTAAAATTGGCTGGGCTGTGGGGGAACTGGTGGCATATCCAGGTTGCTCGATGACGTATAGCTCCTGGTTGCCGTAGGAGTAGCGCTTGTTGGAATCGGTCGATGAGGTGGAGCTGAGATCCGACTGGGAGAGTCCAGTTTGGGCGAGATCAGCGGTAGCCTCCTCCTGCGGTGTCCTGGCAGCATCCTCCAGCATTTGCTCCTCCGCCTCCTCGATGAGATGGAGAACTGCACCCGTGGGATTGGCCTGCGGCAAGATGGGATTGGTGAAATCGCTGGGTGGGGCATGGATCTGGACCTGCTCGTGGCTGGGCGGAAGCGTCTGCTCGTCCAGCAATTGCAGACCGTTGGCCTGCTGAAGCTGAAGCTTGGTGTCGAAGGGCAGATCGGTTGTCTCGAGGGCGGCGCCGGGGATGTCAGCCGCCTGCTTGGAGTCGATGCCGCGCGCCACTTCCACAACGAAAACCCCATCCTTGTCCGTGTGCATCTTTGTCTCGCGCGCGTTTCTCGAGATGTCCTGCGAACGATAGTGAGGATTGAATGGCTGGTGAAATGGTTGATGGTGGGATGGATGGCAAGCAACCAAAAGCAATTGCATCAACAACATGCAGTCAGCTACGACAACAGCAAGGAAGAGATAGAGTAGGGGTGGAGAGGAGAGGAGGGAGACAGACACTGGACTGGGTGATGGCAGAGGAGGTGACAGAGCAGACAAATCGGGTGGCTGCCATGCGGAAAGTGTCGAAAATTGCATTTGCATATGCTTGTGACATGCTCACAGACGCCTTGGCCACCCACTCAAGGATGCTCATAGTACAATAATGCCATAACACCAATACACACACAACACACACAGCTAGATGGATATTTTTGGGTTGCTGTTGCTGGATTTTGGGACCTCCGGGTGACAAATGGACGACACTTGGCTGTTGCTTCGTTGCTGAATCAAAGCTGTCTGGCATATGAAGGCCCGCAGGTCCCCACTATGAGCTGATAGACACTCCCAGGCCCACGCCAGGACAAACAAGTTTCGTTGAAAGGGGTAGGGGGGGGATCAGATTGGAATAAAGAGTACAAGAACACCAAATGTTTAGAAATATATATGAGGGGTGATCAATTTAAGATGGCTCAAGGAGCTGACAGGAGGATACGAGAACAGCAAATACTCAAGTTTAAATGAGAGAAATATACAAATGGAAAAGAAGGCGAGGAGTGGAGAGGAGAGGAGAGGAGAGAGTGACACACAGATGTTAAAGTAGTCTGAAGGTCAGGGTTTAGGCATGAACCTAAATGGAGAGATGAACAGGGAAATGGAAATGGAACAGACAGAGAGAGAGAGAGGAATAGGAATAGAAGTGTGGGAGAGCCACTTATAGTATAGGTAGAACACGTAAGGAAGAGCAGGCAGGAATCAACACACACAGCAAACAAAGTACATCAATGAAGAACGCGAGAACGAACGCGAGAGAGCGAGACCACCAGAGTGCATGTGGGAAAAGAGACAGCAACACTTAGACAGGAGAACACGCAACTAACAAACAACAACAAAATGCAGACAACACACACGCAAGCGCACAACACACAGACAGACAGACAGAGAGAGAAAGAGAAATCTATACATGTGTAGGAAGAGAGCGTTGCTAGCTAATGGCGCTATCGGAACTGGAGCCTCGTGAATGATTGCAAAGGGATCTGCAGTGATAACTATTAATGCCCCTTAACCGAATCAGGTGTATTCCAATGTTTTATTTCTGCCAGAACAATTCACTCCGCAAATAAGTCCAAGCAAACCGAAGTCTAATGGAAGTCCCATTCAGAGTTAAGTGCATTACATCTGTATGAAGTTAACTAAGTAGTTCCCATTCACATAACGCACTTTACTATGCATGAATTCCCGTTCACTCCAGTCCACACAAGACACCATAAACTAGACACCCAGCTCTCCCCCACAGCTGTGTGCTGCCTGTCTTTGGGAAAAGCACACTCAGAGACGACAACAACTACATACAATATAGGATAGACTGTGCGAAAGAGAGACGGCACGCGGCACGCGGGATAGCTGATCGGCTGATCAGCTGATCAGCTGCTAACGAACTGACTTACGTGTCGCTCTTCAGTGACAACAATGAGATGATTATGTTTGAGCGTCATCTTGGTGACGGAGCCACTGGGTGCGATGACATCACTCCAGTCACCACTGCCCTCATCGCTGCCAGTGCCAGTGCCAGTCCCCCAGATGTCGGGCATCTCGAATTGAAACTCGAGATGCTCTAGACCCGAGCCCAGACGATGGCCCACACTGGACTTCTCACTGGTCGATGGCCTGGGATACGAACAGGAGGACGTGGTGGCGGTGTTCGACACGGATGCGAAGGCGGATGCGGAGCCAGACGATGCTGTAGAGGTGGCCGAGAGAGTTGACTGCAAGAGGCAGATGGAAAGGCAGGCTCTCAGTACGGTGGGTAGCAAAGGCAAAGGTGTATTACCTATACAACCTACATGTGTCGATACATCTGGGGATAGCATTATAATCTAAGAATATTTAATACAAAAAAAGATTTTGCCTAATATTGAACCCAATTGAAACCTTCAAACAGATACGTTCGATATTCGTGGCGTTGTTTTCCGTACCCATACATCTACGACATAGACACATAATATCTTTATATTTTTCACCATTTTACACACATATGTATGTACATCTGTATAGACCAAAGTGAAATCCAATACACACTCTTAACCTTCTCCTTCACAAATAAAAAACATATACGTTGTATATACTCGCTTGCTTCCACACACACATAAGAGAATACTCCAAAGGAAACTCTCCAGCTCATAGGCAGCCACCCACGCAAGCATTAAGTGAAGCAATTTTATTTAATTTCCCCCCAAAAAACATCCAGTTTCGGGTTCAGTTTCAGCATTGAAAGCCCATCTTTAACTGCAGTAAAAGTTTAAATTTGTTCTGGCCTCCGCTTCGGTTACCAGCGGAAATTTCTGCCCTTGTTTCATTTTGTTGAAAGCTCTGGAAAAGTGCAAGACTGGGACTGTGGATGGGACTGGGACTGGGTGAGGGACAGGGACTGTGGCTGTGGCTGTGGCTGTGGCAGTGCATCCGTGGCAGCTTGGGACGGGACTAAGTTTAGGGCACTCGCTGATGGCATTTGCGTTTAAATTTTACAATTTTCATCTACCGAAAGAGACAGCTCACAGCTAATTCGACTTTGCTCTCGATGAACGACTTACCTCATTTTTGGAGTCCGTGCCCTGTTCGCTGTCATCGTTACGGGCGCCGCACAGTCCCTTTCTAGCGTTTTTGTTCAGCATATAACTGCAAAGAGGAGAGAGCGAGAGACAGTCAGTGTGTGGGTGAGTGAGAGGGATGGAATGAGTGGGGATGCTGAGGTGGTGGCGGTTGCGTGTGCCCGGGTTGAGGTGCGAAAGCTGTTAAGCACCGCCCGCTGCCGTTCAGCCAGACTTTCTAAAATCCAATGCATTTCTAATGATGCCGCGACTCAAATTAACATTTTGTTGCCTACTTTGTGGCGCCCGCCTACAATTGCCCAATCAGTATACTCCATACATACACACGTACATACACATGTATGTATACCCCCACTACACAAAGGAGGATGGACTCTACAAAGTGGAGAATAATATTTGTACATAAAATAAGTATTCTCTCCCTCTCAGCAGCGTTGGATCGTGGCTGACTAGGTCTGGCTATGGGTTCAACAGAGTCGCCCCTCTTTGATTTCCCCTTTCTCTTGCATGCAGTTCTTATTATATTCTTCGCTTAAATAATACAAATTTTCGCCAGACTTTTTCATTCGCGTAGAGCAGCCGCGCCATTGTCGTTGCCCTGACTGCCGCGCAGTGCTATTGCCACTCAACGAACTTCAAGTTGCCACACGCACAACTAATTTCTCGTCTCGAGAGTTTATTGTGCAATTTCCTACCGCACACACGCAGTGTCCTGCCCGCCGTGTCCTGCCCAACAAGAAAGAAATAAGGGAAATAAATTGTGTATTTCCTTTTTATTGAGGCTCTGGCTTTTCGTCGCTGGTAGCATTTTTTGGGGGGAATGGGCGTGCTGTAAGGTCATTGACGGTTGGGTGGCGTGGCGTGGCTTGGCGGATAACAAACTGGCAACGTTTGCGGCTACCATTTGCCGTTTTATGCGTTTCTCCTGCGGCTTCAAGGAATGGGAATGAGGAGAAGGACCTGGAAGCTGGAAGCTAAAGCTGAAGCACCTCTCTCAAACAGCCTGCCTTGTTAGCTTCTGTCTGCTACATCATCTGTAGATGTGGCTGTGGATGTAGATGTGTCTGCTCCAAGAGTGTGTTTTGTGTGCGTGTGGCGACTTCCGCTTCCGGCCTCGCCGATTCCGCCGCGTTGATTTGTTGCTCCTTCATTTTTGGGGCTGCGCTCTCTAATCCTAAACTCCCACAGCTACTCCCATTGAGTACCCATCATGCTCACATGCACATATGTATTCTCCATCCACATCCACATCCACAGAAGTAGCTTCCCTCGAAGCAATTCGCATTTAGGTGGTGTGCTTAAGATTTATATCTGTTTGTGTGTGTGGATGCTGAAGGCCACCATGATGGAGGATGTGCGTTCCTGGCATTGCGTCAGTCACTCTCCCCCTCAGCCCCTCAGCCACTCAGCCACTCCAGTAGGGCCATCCACCGTAGCGTCCCCCGTCGCCGTCACAGATTTGTCAATGTTTTGTTGTTGCTGCTGCTGCTCGCCTTCTGCTGTCTGTCGCTGGCAATGCGAGAAATAAAATGCCACGGGTGAAGCTGATAAATGCGATTTGCCACGCCTTAGCTGCAGCATACGCAGGCATAGGGGTGGCTTGTGTGGTTGGGCGGTTACCGTGAGGGTTAGGACTGGGGTCAGGTGGCGGCAAATTGCTTTAAATTGAGTGCATTCTCCTGGCCCTCACAAGTAGGCAACAAATTCGAGCAAAAACTGTGTCGGAATCCTTTCAACCGAACAGGAAATAAGACGGATGGTTGAGGGTTGAGGAATTTCCCAAGGCTAAGACCCACCCACACCCGTCTAAGCTGGCTCCCCATGCTGCTCGCATTTGATGCTGGATTTGGCTGAGCTTCTCCCCTCCCGGCTCTCGGGCACTTTGATGGCAATGCCTTGCAATTATTTTTGATTTGTGGACGACAACGCTGTCTAAGCTGATTAGGCGCCGCACGAAGTGTAACCAATTAGCCCCACCCCCCCCCCCCCGCCAGCCCTGAAGAGCACAAGTGTCGAGTACAATCGGCGGCAGGAATTGAATTTGAAATCCCCAAATTATCATTTTTAATTGCTTCCAAATAGTAAATCAAATTAAGAAACAAAATAAAATTAAATCATAATTTATGACACTGCAATCACGTTCATTTCAATTAGCATAAATCCGATTGCATTCGAATTTACACTTTAATTAGTAAAAGCCATACAAAAATAATAAGTACAGTCGCGTTTTTGGCCTCGAATGGAATACTGGAATAACTATCCGCAGCCCAGTTTCTGCTCAAGAGATTCCTCAGGAGGCAAGATCATTAGGTCTCTGTGGTAGTTCCTTCAGACCACCACCACTACCACTATTAATTAATTCGACAGCACTTAATGGCCAACTATAGTCCCGAATGCTTACCGAATGGCACAGTACATGGAGATCAGCAGGGCCGAGGGTAGAATGACAATGATGAGACCCATGGAGACGGCGAAAAGATTCAGGTAGCCTGCAATTGGAAAATAATACAAAAATAAACAAATGCAAATGCAAATGCAAATAAGAATCCCCTCCACTATCCTTAGAGGTACTCACCATCAAAGTCGTCCAGAGGGCTCTCGGACAGGGCTGTGGCATTGCTTATTGCGTGCCCACTGCCAGCACTGCTGGAGAGGAGAGGGGCCATGGCCGAGACGGATCCTGAGCCAGACTCTCCCCCAACCGAACCGTTATCGCTGTGCTGCAGCAGAGTGGCGTTTCCAAGCTCCGCCATGGGCAGTTGCTCGCGGTGCAGGTGACTGGCGCCCGAGTGGCGGGGCAGATGATCCTGTCCGGCGTCACCCGGCGCGTCGCTATCCTGCAACTGGCGATGCGCAGGGCTGTCGAAGGGATAGGAGCCCTCAACGCCATCGAAGCCGCCGCCTGCCCCGTCATCGATGAGATCTCCTCCATACTGGATGGAGCTCTCGATCACATCCGGATCACTGTCGACGCCCATGCCTATGCCGATGCTGTTGCTTTGAATGTCGTTCTCGTAGATGCCCATCCCACCCAGCTCTCCGGGCATATAGTCGATCTCCTTCAGTTCGATCTGTGGCGGCAGCTCCCCGATCACGGGCACTCCAATGGCCAGATCAGGCAGCACGGCCGGCTGAATGATGATGTCCGACTGGGGTGAGCTGCCGCTGCCGCTGCCACTGCCTCCGCCCAAGGGTGGTGCCTGGGTGGTGCTTGCACTCGGAGGCTGCTGCTCCACTTCGATGACCGACTCCCCCACATAGGTGACATCCAGGGGTGGTGCTCCGTCGCCGCTGCTCGGACCCGTACTGCGGAAGATCTTCAAAGCATCGGCGCTATTGTGCAGCGGCGATAGAATAATGTCCTCCTCGTATCGAGGTGTTGCTAGCGCGGATCTTTGCTGTTGCTGTTGCTGCTGCTGCTGCTGCTCCATCACGTAGCTGGCAGGGAAGAACTGGTTCTCCAGCTGGAACTTGCGCTGCTGCTGGACCTGATCGCTTGCAGGACTGCCCGTGGGCAGGGATTCGCCCACCTTCACCTCCGTGTTGGAGATGTAGAAGATCGTGTCAGAGTCCCGATCGATGCTGGGCTTCCGTGGGGGCGGTGGTGGCGGCGGTGGCGGTATTCGTGGCATACCCTCGCCCTCTTTGAGGTCCGCCATAAAGAGCTCATCCGCATCCTGGAGCTGGGGCGGCCGCACCGGCGGCGGGGCATTGGCCACATTGTCCGAACGGAAGGTGAATATCGGGTTGATGTGCTCGCCACTCGACGAGCTCTCTGTGCTGCTGTTGTCCCCATTGGCGCTGTCGATGATCTCCACCACGAGAATCTCGTCGCTGTGCTTGCTCGGCTTCAGCTGCGGCTGCGGCTGGCGGTAGGAGAACTCCAGATCCTCGCTCTCGCTGCCAAAGGCCTCCGACACGTTGATGTGGATCTCAATGGCCGCCGGCTCGGGCTTGCCCAGGGGCGAGCCACCCGAGGCGGGCTGGGTCGAGACATCGGCCCGATCGATCACATACTGGGTGAACCGCTCCTGTGGCGGCCCCACTGGCGGTCGGGGTGGTCGAGGCGGCCCGGTGGTGTCCGCGCCCGACTCCACTTGCGGCGGATAGTAGCCCTCGTTGTCGCGGAAGTTCGTGGATGCCACAATGGAGTCCACTGTGGAGTCGTACACCTCTATTTGTATGTCCGAGATCTTGGACTCGGTGCGCGGGGGCGCCGGCCCGGAGAGCTCCACCAGGCCACTGCTCATGGGCAGACGAGTTGTGCTGGTCTGCGTCTCAGGTACCTGGAAAACCGTGGTAGACAGAACCGAAATCGATGACAGGGAGGCTGGATCGGGTGTGGGTGTGGCTGTGGTGGTGCTGGTGCTGGTGCTACTTGGCTCTGTCTTCTGCTCGAGCAGTGACGTCGGCGCCAGGATCTCAACAATACGTCCGTTGCGCAGCTGCGACTCGATCGAGGCCACGTGCAGGTGGTTGGCTGGCTGCGGCTTCTTCAGCGGGTGCACCACAGCAAACGTTTTCTCGCCCATGAAAATCGGACCCAAGTACCCATTGTGCACGGGCAGCAGGGCTGGCGGCCCAGTTCCACTCAAACTGAAGCTGGAAGTGGGGCTGGGAGTTGCTGGTTGCTTGGTGATGCCAGGGGTGGTGCTCGCACTGCTGCTGCTGCTGCTGGTTGGGATTGGGATCCTTTCCATTTCTGATTCAATTGCGGTTGTCGCCGTTGTCGTTGTTGTTGTTGGGGTGGTTCTGGTGGTGCTGCTCGGTCTGGTATTGGACTCCACGGTGGGTGAAGTGGTGACTGGTGTGGGGAAATGCTGCTGCTGCAGCTGCTTCTTTCTGGTCAGCTTGAGGCCGTCGTGTCCGCTGTTCATGGGCGGCGCTTCTGTGTGCTCCAAGTCCATCAGCTGCAGCACCGCCGGTGGCTGTACCAGGTGATCATCGCTCTCAGCTCTTGTTGGTGGTGCTCTTTCAGTTGTTGCATTGCCTGTAAGTGGGGTCTTGGTGGTGCTGGTGGTGCTGGTGGTGCCAGTATCGCTTGTAAAAATGGCTGGTGGTTTGGTGGTTGCTTTTGGCACTTTGTTCTCCAACTCTGGTCTTCTGGTAACCTCTGGCAGCTCGGTGATGCTGCTGCTGCTGCCGCCTGCTTTCGGTGCTGCGTTGGTGGTGGGTGGCTTCACAATCAGGGCGGGCCCTGAGCCCTGCAGGCCGTGGCTAGCGGACTGAGGCTGCACCACCACCACTACCTCCGCTGTGGGCGCTGCTCTGCTGCTGAGGGCGGTCGTGGCCAGCAGGAGGAGCACCCACAAGGTGCTTCCCTGGCTGCCACGCCCTCTGCTGGCGCCCAGCGCAGTTGACATGCTGCTGCGGTTGCCGCGGCGAATGGGTGGCTCTGCTGTGGCTGCTGTTGGCGTCTCCTGATTGCGTTTTCGGGAGGCTATATCTGTACTGCTTATCCTGCTGCTTCTGCTGCTGCTGCTTCTTCTTCTTGTCTTGTTTTGTTATGTAAATTTAGTTTTTGAGTTTGCTTCGCTGGCGAAAATCTGTTGGCTGTTTTTGCCTTTGGCACTTAATTTTCCCTTTTGCTCTGCTTGCTGTAGCTACTGTTGTTGCTCTTGTTGCTGTTGTTGTTGCTGTTGTTGGCACTTGGCATTGTGTTGTGGCTCTTGAGGCTGACTGGCATCAACATCATCATCATCATCATCTTCAGCATCTTCTCTGCCATCAGTGAGCGTGCGCGTGCCCCTCCCGCAAGCGTCGCTGCAGCTGTTGCTGGTTTCGCTCAATTGCTCTGTCGCCGCTGCAGCGTCGCGGCTCTGTCGGTGCTGCTACTGCCTCTGCTGCCCTGGGGCCAGCGCCAGCCTCGTTGTCTTTTTTGGCTTACAAGTGTGTTGTTAAGAAAGGGAGAAACCTTCCTTCCTTTCTTTCTTTCTTTCCTTTCTCGCTCTTGGCACTTAATGGGAGGCGAATGGCGACGGTGATGCTGGCACTGCTTGCACGGCTTGCACGGCTCTGCACTGCTTTCACTGCTTGCACTGCTTTCAGTCTGTGATGCTTGTGTCCCTTGTTTGCTGGATCTGATCTGCTTCAAGCTTGGCTTCTTGGGCTTTACCTCTCGCTGTATCTCCCTCAGCTTCTGCCGGAGATTCGCCCTACCTAGAGTGAGAAACCACATTTTAAAACCACGTAATATTGCATGCTCCAGACCAAGAAACAAACGAAATCATACGAAAACCCACAAGGACTATGAAGCTTCGAAGTCCGAAGACCTACATAAAACTAATTCGTTTATTAGCTATGTACATACAGAAATGCATACATATTTATGTACAAACATACATGTACATATGTACATATATGTATATAGTAGCAGTTCGATTGTGGTCTGCACATCAAAAACCAACTGAGAGACTATTTGGCTCAAAGACAGGCAGACGGACATGGCTCTTTTCTCATAGTATCATCCTAGTCATACATACATATGCATGTACATACCTACATTTATATTATATGTATATAGATCTTAGCACTTATCGGCACACTTTTCCGTCATGTTTTGTTCCGTTTTAACCTCACAAACGCAATGCAACGCAAATATTTAAATGTCTGTGGGGTTTGAACACACTAAAATCACTTCAAAGAGAATCAAATGGGTCAAAATAGGAAAAGAGTCGGAAGTAGTCCTTCTTTGCATTGCAAATATCTGGAGCAAAAAATAAAAATTGTAACTTTTTGTTGCAGCGCTGCTTAACGTGTAATTTAATAGGACGAAACGAATGGGTAAATAAAGGGGAAAAGAAAACAACAGAAGAATGAAAAATAAATCATAAGAAATGGAAGATTGAAGGAATGCAAAGGAAGCAAAGCAAACAAAAATAATGAGGAGAAGAAACAGTCAAGAAAAGGTAATTTCTTGGGAAGTTTTTAGCTTGTCTCCCACAACAAGAAACCTGAGTGTCCGGCCAAAATAACTGAAGGCGAAAAGCCAAACAAATACTGCCGTACATATGTATGCATTTCCCTCTTGCAGGACAATGATTAAGCCTTTCAATTGTGGGACGTGCTCCATTTATTCCCTTTTTCAGAGACAAAAACAATTTAAACCTTGCAAAAATATTGAAAAATCGTTGAGAATATTCAGGATTTAACTGGCAGAGTTTATTTTCGGTCGTGTACATAAATACATGCATGCATGTGTATGTATGTATTGCCCTGCCCAAGAAACTTTCATTGTACAAATATTTCCCTGGACGCAGCTGGGATGAAGGCCGACCATCCTCCCGGGACTCCTCCCAACCATCCAGCCATTAATTCAGTGATATGTTGGAAAGTGTCGCACTCTTAAGGCTGCTGGCCAGTCAGACACATGGATCCTTTTGGTCTTTCTCAGATCTGCCCCGTCCCACTTCCTTGGCCCAGAGAAGTATGCAACGTTAATGGAAAGCGGGGAGGGCGAAGCATTCCCCTGCTGGACAGCCAGCTCGTCATCCTTTGAACCATTTTTAGGTTGCGGCTGGGCCATGCAAATTAAATATAAAGCCTACAAAATGATTCGATTTCACAGCCCCGAACCTGACCCTAAAAACCCCAAGCCAAGGAAAAGGTTCGCCAAAGGAAAAATGGGAAAAACCGCAAGCAGGCGCAGGCACGGACGCAGGCACAAAGGCTTTCCATTCTCTCATCATCACGGTCATCGTCGACATCAACGGCCACAGAACAACTTGCCTATCACTCACTCTGCCCAAGACCCGACCCCCACCGCTCAATCCGCCTCCATTCCCAGTCCCCTTCCACTGAGCCAACTATTGGAAACCGAACATCAAAGGGTGCGGGTGAGAGGATGCAGTAAAATATAAAAAAATGGCAAAAAAGGCCAAACAATAATAAAGATTATGATAATATGGAGCATAATGATACGATGGTAAGAAGGGTGAGGTGTAATCGCATGTGTACGTACATATGTATCTATGTGCATAGATGTATCCCTAAACCATGTATCTCTCTGCTATAGGATTTGTATAGCACCGCGAAATCATTAGAAACGGATAACTCTGATGTCCCGACACTCTGTCGTTGAGTCCTGAAACTACTTTTGTCTGTCCCTGCACGATTTCACGGCATAAATGAATCTTAATATCAGCATTACATAAGTTTAAAGATTCCGAAAACATGACGGAATCTTGTTGCCCGCATATACATATGTACATATTTACAGAAGGACAGATACTAAAACAGCAACTGTTCAGGCATGAGAGCTGCAATCATATTTCCCGGCTGGATAAAAGGTCTCAGCACATCTTACATTAATCTCTTGTTAATAAGTCTGTTTAATATATCCCCTCTTAATGCTAAAACATATGTAGTATAGCTAGAAATTATATACTGTGTGTGTTCTACTTACCGCCGGCGAATTCGCTGGCTGATTCCGCTTGCCCCGCAAGGTAATCCAAGGGTCCTTGCAGAGCTCAAGGGCCCGCTCACCTTCCCCTTTTGTCACCTTCGCACGGGCTTTACTTGTATTATGCCAATTCTTATTTATCTTGATGGATTCCTTTTCCGCTCGCACAAAATATTGTCTTTGATTGTTTCTCACACGCCACACTGCAAAAAACTGGGCAAAAAAAACAATCAGCGACACCACGAACAAAAAAAAACTAAAACCGAACCGAACCCAAATCGCGAACACGGACACGGACACAGAGCATAACGGTGATTGTTGTGATGCGGCAACAATAACAGGAGCAACGGCCACAAGGAGAGGAGTGGCGAGGGGGAGCGAGAGTCGCCCCAAGTCGTGGCAAGGCAAACCCACGCTGCGAGGGCGACAAAAGTCGCACAAGAAACGCGCCAAATTTAAGCAAATTAATCCTCAGATGGGGTTGCTTGTTCTGCTATTGTCCTAGGCCTGCCTTGGCCCCCACCTCCGCGCTTGATGCGGGGAAAAGATGTGAGAGGGAAGGAGATTGACTGACCCACAACTCCTCTGCTATCCTTTATCACGCTGCCTCTTCGGGTGGCTCTTTTTGCTGCTGATGCTGCTATTGCTGCTGTTGCTGCCGCTGCTGCGTCCTTTAGCTCCGAAAACCGCACGAAAACTGCGCAAAAATCATGGCATGCTTTGGCCAAAAGGACTCACGAACCTCCCAACGAACATGACTCCACGAGCATTCAAAAATTGCGCGCTCTTTTCCTGAACAAAAATTTGTATGGCATGCCACACACATAAGCGGGAATGTTGCGCATGTTGCGCTTGCAAGCCATCGGCAGGGTGTGTTCGGACAACAAGGTGGGGGGTAGCAGCCGTCACAAAATGTACCATGAATGTCGACGAACAAATATTAACAAAATAAATGAAATATTGGTTCAAAATCACGATATGTTGAATAAAGGTTCAATTTAATTGTTGTTGATTTTGTATACTTTTCTTTAATATATATGAAATACAATATATATATATATATAAAATCTGAAAAATATACAAAACAATTTTTTTGTTATTCGTACCCTCAAAATCGATCAGAATAAAGTCAGAAAAAACAAACGAAAATTGAGATCTGACCATAGTCCAACTCGAATGTTGCTGCCATGTTGCGCATCACTGCCTCGATGGATTATTGCGCAGCATGCTGAAAGCAACATTTTGGGTGGAACCACGCCCCCCGCACCAACAATATAACACCGACCGAGAGAGAGAAAGTAGCAAAAGCCGAGAGAGCAGAGCCGACGACGAGTGCAAAGAGAGGGCAGTGCTCAGATATTAGCAACATGCGTGCAGTGCAGCCATTTCGGCCATTTTAACTAATTTAAGGCTTTATTTAGCATTTTTAAGAGTGGAACTAAACCTTGTTTAACCTTTGAATTTATACTGCATCTTTTCTCGATTTAATAGCGGCATACAAAATGTCGGATCTAGTTTTTTGTGCCATTTGTGATGAGAACATTGTTCATTTGCAAAATAATTTTGTTCCGAGGCCGAAAATAATTTATAAGTATTTTATTTATTTATAAATATTTATAAATCAAAGGAGGATGTTGAATATGAATATATTTCCAATATAAAAACCAGCTATTTCATTTTTGGGTTGTATTTAATGTTAGACTAAGTTGTTGCTTATTTAATATCGCCTTTAGTCATTTGTTTCATACTTTTCTTGCGAATCTAGCTTGTATTGACACTCTAATTCCGGCAGCACTATACGCGTGTTGCATTTGAACGCATGGTATAACTATATTGGGTAGGGACATCTCAGCGAACTCCCTGCTTGTGTGCGTCATATTGGATATTAAGTCATATTTTTGGATGTTTTTTTACCTGGAATATAACGTGATTCCATCCATTCCATATTGTTTTTTTTTTATTTACTTATAGTTTCATTTATCATTACGATATTGAAAGATTTCTTTTATATTAAAACATTTTTATTGCTCTCGAAAATTACGAACTTACCTATTTATGTTTCTAGCTCAAAACTGTCACACTAAATTTTAAATCGGAAAAATAAAAATATAAATTAGAATACCTAATTGTTCCGCTCGATGAGTTGGTTGTACCTTATGAACCATTTTACTATGGGCTGGCTGTCTGGTACAGTGCTGCTCAACGCTGAAGTGGAGACTCGTGTGGATACCTTTCTTCGCGGTTTGTGTCTTGGCTGAGCGCTGAAGCTTACGGTTTATTCCAGTCTCCAACAGAGCTTGCTAATTTTCCAAAACTTTACAAGAAGCTTTAGTACAGCTTTACGTGCGCCTATGTGTGTACGATGTGTTTAAGCGAAAGCTTAGCTTAGCCAAAGTTCTGCTGCGAATTATCTATGGCACATTGTTTGAACGTATCGCTATATCTCTATCTATATACATTTTTACATAGATAAATTGTACTCTTTACTGAAAAAATTTATTCATATCGTTTAAAATAATTAAATTTATAATTCGGTCTTCCATGTCATTTGATTTCGAGATGAAAAAACCAAACGAAAATTCGTACAAGCTTTTTTTTTAGTTTTTAATATTTCTAAATGTTCAGAGTTTCTGCTCACTCGGCGTACTGAAGCCCAGAGCCCATTGAGTTTGTTGGCTCTCGCAGATTTCTTCACGTGTTTGTTTTTTTACTATTGAAAGTTTTCATAGTATTTACATAAAATGTTGGAATTCATAAAATTCATGACTAGAAACTTGTTCTGCTACTTGCTATCCACCTAGTTGCCCCCCCACCCATTCCATATTTAAATAATGGGAAATTGAAAAAAGCTTAGAGCTTAGCTTATAACAAATTAAAATTGCTTAAAAGGCTACGCCTTGCTCATATGAAAACAGATTCCTGCAAGGCCAATCCAACCATCGAAACTACTGCCACAGCCCTAATATAAGAATTAAACACATTTTAAACTGGTGCTCGGCTCTTCAAAACATTCTACTTGCGATCCCTAGCTCCGATCTCCCTTTAGCCAGGCCAGCCGAAAGTTCCAGCAGCTATTCCTGTCCCCGATCCTGTAGCTAAAGTCGGCATAAGAAGAGCAATAAAAATATATCAAAGCTGTACAATTTCTGAAGCCCACTCTGACCTAAAAATTTCTTCTAATGAAACACAAAGAAATATTACGGTGAAAGCGCAAGGTACAAAACAAAGATAATCCCTACATTGAGTCTATTTCATTAATCGGGGGTATGTACATATGTCTGTAACAAGTATGAAACTTGAAGCTTCCTCTCTGCAGCCGTGACTGCCTTCCAAAGATGGAATTTTGTTGACAGCTCTGTTTTATTTATAGTGGATCTCCACTCGACTTTCTTTCAATTTTCCTCTCCCATGCAATTCTTTGCACTTTTTCTGCATTGGCAACCCAACTGTATCTGATTTTACCTAAAGCTAAAGTCTTTGTCTTAATTTCCATCATAATTTATCCCGTTGCTGTTCCCCCTCTTTCGCATTCCATTTGTTTCGAGCGTTCTGCCTGCCAAAAAATGTGTCTCACATTTATTTTGATCATGCAACACGCACGATAACTCCCATAAATAATTTGCCATTTGATTATGTAAAACTGGTGGTTCACCTGCACGGTTGACTGTCTCCTGCACGTCCTCCTGCTCCCAGTCGCCACACTCTCCGCGTCCGCGGCCGCCTCCGCCTTCAACAATCCAAGCCAAGCCAAGCCAACCCAAGCTCACTTATTTGTCTACGCTGTGGAATTCAAGGCAGGTCCCCTCCGGGCGACACTCCCAAATGTCTCCGTTTGATGCGTTGTTGGACATTGAACGTCCAAAGACGGCTGCCAGGCACCGTTTGGTTTTGGTTTTTTAGCTTTGGATTGGGCATCTGTCAATTCTGTGCCCCGGCTGGGTGTCTCTGTGACCATCTCTCCCTCTCTGTCCTCTGCAAGGCTCCAACTACATATACATATCTGTATCTGTATCTGTACCTATACCTATATCTGTATGGGTAAATATGTACGGGCGAGCGTATAGTCAGATGTCTGATGTTGCCTGCGGGGGACACTGACAGCAATTCGGCAAAGGAATTTGCCTTTTGACAAATTAACAATGCACAAAGTCCGCCAACGGACACCGTAGCGGGATAATATCGATAACGAAAACGGACAAAAATAAATGTCTTTAAACGTGCTCAGAAATGTGTACGTATATTCGGCACAAAAATGATGATGACAAAGCTTAGATAGACTCGAATTTCCATCCTCTTGCAGTTCTAACTAAGGATTAGCCAAATCATTTGATACCCTGCCACCATATCTCACAGAGCAGCCCAGAAGAGGGATGTATGTATGGATGTACCTGCAAGTGTATCTAAATCTTCATACTCAGAGGCGAGCCCGCAGTAAGTTTGTTTTTTGTTTTGACCCATTTGTAGTGGCAGCAATTTGGCAACAGCATTTGCATTTTGACAAGTTAACAATGCGCATACCTGTGGCACCGCCCACCCACACTCACAACAGCATCACCTGCGCCCACTTCCACTCTCCCTCGCACACTCTCCCTCGCACACTCACCCTCGCACACTCTCCCGCCCACTCGCACAAAGCCACAGAGACAGACACACTGGCATGGAGATAGAAAACTTAATTGAATCCCCCTTTGGCAGCCGCTGCCGCTGCTGCTGCCTGGCCATTGAACATATTTCAATTGCTGACCTCAAAGAGTTTCATTTGGCTCTTTGTGAGTTTATTGCTGGGCTGTTTGCTCAGCTCGGGCTCACCTCAGCTCCGTGCTGTGGGGCATTTTTTTTTTTTGGCGGAACGCTTTTTCTCTGACGGCGGCCGTTACACGTCCGAATCGGCTCGAGGCCGGCCGCATTTATCGAGCGTAATGAGCACGCAGATCAGCTCGGCTCGGCTCGGCTGGGGTCGGTCCGGGCCGGGCCGCTTAACACACAACTGCAAGGCGTTTCAATTGCCCCCCAAAACTCGATGTCGATGTTGAATTTTGAGTTGTGCTTCTGGCCCACGAACTGTCGGCGACAAAAAGGGGCCATAGTTATGTACTATGTACATATGTTGCAGGTGGAGCACATCCGAATGCCAAATATTGATAAAATATTTTTAAGCTCGGGTGCGGGTGTGGGTCTGCCTCATCTTGTTTGCATTTTGGGATTAATGCGGCATTAATCGATGCAGGCGCAGACTACTGACGATCTTATCGGCTCAGCCTGGCAATTTCTCATCGAATCTTAACGGATCGTCTCACTTGACGCGGATCGACACCAGCGTCAGCCTCGACATCAACAGGCTCTGACTCTGACTCCAGCTCTGACTCTGACTCTGGCTTTAAGCATGGTAATGTGTAATGAAATTCCCCCCTGGCAGCAAAAGCCTGCGCATGGCCATGACAAAACAGATACATCGGCGACGACATCTTGACAACTGGCGTCGATTTATATGCGCAGCTTTTCCATGATGTGTTTTCCATGCAACGCGACGCGACGCGACGCTATGCGACGCCAGTTTTCCATGCCAGGCAACGAACGAACGAACGAACGGCAACGTGCCGCGCATGCCGAGCCGAATCCGTTTGGCTAAATTTGCCAGTCGATTGCAACTGGCGATGCCAATTGAAACTGAAACGGTAAACATTGCCCGCAGTCCAGCCCCAGCACCAGCCCCA